AATCCTACTGACTCCAAACTTTTTAACGGTACTGTAAATTGAACAACATAAAGGTTTACAATAAGTGTTCTTCAGATTATAGGTTAGAAAATGACATTGTCTTGAATGATAAGCACAAATTCAGTTTTTAATTTTTTTTGGTATTTTCTTGTCACTTTTCAAAATGACAAGCCATAACAAATCTTTTATTGAACTTTGGGTCACCCCGTGTGTGAAATCCTGTTGTAATCTCAGGGATTCTGATAAGTGAAGAGCAAGACTGTGTAGAAGAGCAAAAATGGAGTGTCTGTCTACAGGCAAACCACATCAAATCCTCATTAATAGTGTTTCCATTTGTCTAATATTTTGTGCCTCCTCAAAATGTCAAAGCCATTTAAGAGAAAAACCACAAAGAAATCAAAGAGTTTTAAACTGAGGTCTGTAAATTACATGAGTTATTTGTAATGTCTCTTATAAAATAGTAGAAGTAACTTAGTAACTTTGAATTAATGTTTAATAGACCCTTTTTTTGTTTTGTTTTTGAGTAAAATTATGTGCTGTATTTAGGACTAGTGGACTAGTTTAGGACTACTAGACACTGATCTCCCTGTTTTAACTATTTGTCATTATGAACTTTTTTATCTTAAAGGGGTCCTATTATGCTCTTTTACAAAGTCTTGATTTTGTTTTGGGGGTGTACTAGAACATGCTCTCATGCTTGGTGGTTTGAAAAACGCATTATTTTTCAAATTTTTCACAATTTACATTATTAAAATACCTTTCTCCCCATCCTGGCACAAACGGCTAGATTAGTTCAGGCTTTGATGAAGGTCTGCCTTCTGAAAAACAAAATGTGTTGTGATTGGTTAGCTGTCTCAGTGCGTTGTGATTGGCAAACAGCTTAGACGGTGTTTCAGTACTGCCACGCCCCTTGCTCTGTCTTTCAACAAAAGCTTTTAGGCAAATCCGGCAGGCACTGTACTCTCTCATGTTGTGGAAGCTGTCCTCAGTAAAATGCACAGCACACAATAGCAAATTGGGGTTATAATGCTCAGGGACAGAGTTAAAAAATAAATTGCAACCACTGCTTCCTGATGTCATCTGCTTTCGGAAGCCCAAACAAAGACCACGGAGGTGAAAAAAACAGCGTTTCAGGCAGTCGCTCACAGGACGAAGCGCAGCGTTAAAATTCAAATACATAATTTTCTATGAGTGTAGGCACACCGGCTGCGCCGTTCAGCGTCTGTCCGCAGCGCCCAGCAACATCTTGTTGTACTTGTAAGAATGGTTTTAGACATGCCGAAAATTTGAAGCTACTTCGTTTTCTCTGATGCACTAACTCTGCAGCAGCAATTCTTCTTCGTCGTCTCATCTGATGCACTCACGCAACCAAGCGTTCTAACCACAACCTCGCCCCTCCCCACCCCCCAACCATTTGAATTTCTGTAGGTGGGAATTATTTTGAATGATATTCTAATGGGCCGCTTTGTGATATCAAAAAGCCCGGAAAACAAACGCTGTAGTCCAAACGAGCCGTTCGTT